CGGGCAAGGGGCGAGAGGCGGCGGGCGGCGGAGCGGGGGGCGCCGGCGACCCCGCTCGCCGGCTGGCACTGCCCGCTGGAGCCCGGCAATAATATTGTTTTATACCTACGGGTATAAGTTTGAGTTTTTCTCTCCTAATGCCAAGTATTTAAAACCTCTAGAAACCAATGATTTGACAATCAATGATTGCGCGATACTTTCAATTTGAATATTCAAAGGCTCTGCAAAATGGGCTATCTTTTTGTGGAACAGAGCACATCCCCATCTAGCAGAGGGTCTGGGGGAACAGGATTTGGCAGAGCTGCTGGCACCACCCTCTGCTTTTGGGACATTTTCAGGGTTTTAGCCATCTTCCCCCAAATGAGGCAGACGCCTCTGAACCTGCTCAGTATTTTGACTTCACACGCACAGGCTGCACTCCAGCCCTCTCATATTTCATTTGCTGCTTGCAGAGAGGCTTCTGCAAGGGACTGAGTGGCTTTTTGCAGAATTTTTCACACTTTAGGGGAAATTTTCAAGATTTGGGGAGCAAAATGGCAGTGAGCGGGTATGGTAAAACAGAACGGCCATCCTGGGCCCTGGGGAGGCTGAGGCTGCCCAAACCCCATTTCTTGGCCCTGAAATCCCTGCTTTCTCCTCAGGTGCTGGTCTTGTGTTGGGATTTACCTGTATTTTCTCCCAATTCAGGCTCTTTACTTGCTCTCCACAAAGTGGCCCCTCTCAGCTTGTATGTCTCAATATTGACCTGCCCTGGGCGCTCAGGTAAGAAGGGCTTCAGTGCATGGTACGATGGTTTTCTTAGACACCCCTTCATCACTATATAATATGCATTTTTTAAGTTTTTTCCCTAGGCTCTGCTGTCTGTGCCATGCATGAGGCTGAGGCAGATCGCAGGCCAGGCTGTTAATGATCTACCAGCAGTTCACTGTGGCTCTTGTTGCGGACAGAATCTTTTCTTTTTCTCTAGACTGAGCAAATAACACTTCATTTCTGCTGGGAAGGGTCTCAGCAGTCGTCCCTCCATGCTAAAAGGTGCCTTGGTTCCCCTGGCAGGCTGAGGCTCATGCGGGCAGCTCTGCTGAGGAGCTTTGCCCAGGCCGTGCTGACGAGGAGCCCTTTCCCTGGCTTTTCCCAGCCGGCAGTGCAGCCAACGGGAGCGGGGCTGTGCAGGAGGGGTCTTCCTGCTGAAGCGTCCAGGCAAGAGGCCGGAGCCCACGGGGCTGTGAGATCTGTGCAGGGTGTCCAGGGAGCCAGGTTATTGTTTACCTCTGTAACCAGAGGCCGCTGAGCAGAACGTGCATGTTGCTGTGCTCCAGTCATGCCTGATTTGTGATCCCTAAGGAACCTCAAAGTGCCTGTGTGTCCTGCATTTCGGTGCACTTCTAGGCTCTCAGAGCTAGGAGACAGCAGAGCAGGACAGGCACTTTGAAAAGAGCCCAAAGGCTTTCAAGTCCTGCTTCTCCCTCAGAGCCGGATAGGGGTGCAAGCAGAAGGAGCCTGGAACCCTGGGTTGTGCAAGGCCTTTGGAAGGTACCGTTGAGCCAGGTGGTTGCTTTGCTGCCATGTCAGCCGCAGAAGTGATTTGACCTGCAGTTAATTGTGATGTGCAGCAAGGCTGTGGGCTGGGAGCACCAGGAGCTGCCTGCCCACCAGGCACTCTCGGACCAGTGGCAGGGGCTGCATCAGTGACTGGGTGGCTGCAACGCCAGGACATGCTTGTCTCCTGCTTGCTCGGAAGGGCCCACGAACCCCTCCAGGAGGCAGGCGGGCTTCACGGGCGCGTAGCAGCCCTGCAGAGGAGCCCTGGCTCCTGCCTCTTTCCCTGGCCAAGCTGTCCTTGCCGCTCCTGGACCGGACTGGTGAGTGGAAAGGTGCGGCCAGTGGGGTGGGATTTCGGGCAAAGGCGCAGGGGGAAGGTTGCATTTCTGAACAGGTCTGGACAAGGCTGGGGAATCAGGAAGTGGCAGAAGGAGCCCGAGCCAAGCTGGGACTGGAGAGAGCCACTTCGGACCAGCCGCGGCTGGGGGTTCTGCCCCAGCCGGAGACTCCAGGGGAGTTTGCATCCCCCAGGAAGTACAGGTCAAACCCAGAGGCTGGCTAGGGATGTGGGTCTGGTCTCTTTTTGTGGCGGGCCCCGAAAGCTGCCCCTTGGGCGGTGACCCTGCCCATCTGCGGGCTGATGGGGCAGCGCTGCCCGGGTGCGCATTGCCACCTAAAGGCCGGTCCCTCCATGCCGCCTTCCGCACTCGGGCCGTCCTTCCACCCTCCTTCCTGCTGCGGGCGTTGAGACCCTCTGGCTGGGAGCAACGTTTCTGTGAGCCCCGGGGCAGAGAGGACCCGCAGCCCTACTCCTGGTTTGCAAAGGGGCTGTGTGGGGAGCGCACAGCCATGCGGTGGAAGCAGGGGCTGTTGCAGACCTTGAGAAAAGAGGGCTGGACAGCCAGGCTGTGTTAGGTGCCTGAGTAAGGGGCCGGTAGAGCTGCTGAGGGCACCAGGGTGCAGGCAGGTTGCAGGATGAGGGAGCTAGGGGATGGGCTAGGTGGTCCTGCTGTGAAAGAGCAGGGAGTAGGAAAGCATGGCCTGGCCTATCGGGCACTTCCCCCAGGGAGAATTTTGCGGCTGTTTCTGCAGGAGGTAGGAAGAGACTGGTGAAAGGCAGTCCCAGCAGCGGCTTGTGCTGTTCGGGGCTGCAGGCGCAGGCGTGTGTGTGTGTGTGTGTGTGTATGTGCAGAGCTACCTCTAGCGGCCATGGGTCCTACGGGGCTGTGCTGGCCTGCTGGCATCAGCCCACACGCTGCTAGCGGGGAGCAGGACTGTGCACCAGAGCTGCTGCTCCTTGCTGCTCCTTGCAGCTCAGCAGGGGCTCGGGTGCATTTTGCCTGGCAGCCACCCTGACGCGCAGCTTTTGGTTGCATCCCCTGCGTTGCTTTCGGGGCTGGTAAGGGTGAGGGCAAACGGTTTGTGTCAGGGCAGGGAGAAAATTCAGAAGGGGGAATTTGCAGAATAGGGCCAATAATGTGCAGATGTGTTTCAAGCTCTGTATTTTACCTGCAGTGCAGTGGGGATATAAGCAGTGAGCCTCACAAAGCACTAGAAGGCACTGCTAAGAACCAAGGGCCGCTGCTGGGAAATAGCATACAAGTAGCTTGGGCTTCAGTACAGGTCCATGTTTTTTCCTTTCCTCCAAATCCTATTTGCCATCAGTAAGTTCTCCGGCCATCATATGTGCCCCAGAGGGGACCTCCATCCTCCTTCGCCCAGGACGTGGAGTCGTGGAGAGCCTGCGCATCTGAGGACGGCTCGGGGGAGAGATGGTTCATCCTGGCAGTGAGCTCATTTGCCACAGTCATGAGCGGTGAGAATGAGTAGGGCGCGGTGGCGGCGTAGCTGGAGGAGTAGTGCACCTCTTCCAGGGGATGCAGCAGGTACGGCTGGGCTCCAGGCACGGCCGGGACCCAGCCTGAGCTCCTGTATGGGGAAGTGCTGCCCGTCTCGTGGGAGGAAAGGCAGCCGGCGCTGGCAGGCATCGCTTGCAGGGAGTCTGAGCACGGGCCTTCAGGCTGGCCCAAGCTGTCAGGAGAGGTCTGTTCCCAGGGCTCTCTCTGCAGCGAAGGGAGGAAGAAGGCAACAGAAACTGTTGAGGATGAAGGCTCGTCCTGCAGGTAGCAACCTGCCTAGCTCTAGCTTCGGGACTCACCAAGCTAAGGTCTCCCCAGAATCTAGCTGCAAGCACAAGGGATTCTGTTGCCCTGGGGCAGTACCAGAAGGTGCTAAAAGTGTTTAAAGGAAACACGTAACACATTAACCAGTGTTAATGGCGAGCAAGGACTGGAACAGGCTCCAGCTGGGCTGACCAACCCCCATCCTGCAGAGCCCGGGAGCTCTGCCCTGGGGCAGTTGGACCAACTGAGTTTGGAGGGCTGCAAGCTTCAGAGCTGGTCTCCACCAGGAAGGAGAGGGGCTGGGGACAAAAAGGAAAATACTTAACTGCTTACCCTGTGGTCTGCCGTGGTTACATCCTGCTACAGCTACCTTCCTGCCACATGGGTCCCCCCTTAAACTGGGTGATGTTTAACTGCTGACAGAACCAGAGACTCACTCACTAGTAGGATATGCGCCGTGTCATTAGGGAAGGACGGCAGGAGAGAGGGCAACGAAGAAGGACTGAAGAAGGAGCTGGTACTGGATGTAAAGGGAGCAGTACGGGAGTGATCCCCGTATTGCTCAGGGAGGTACGGATCCAGGAGCGCTGAGTAGCCCTGGACGGCAGAGGAATCGCACGGGAGCGGCTTGGATCCTGGAGGGGGTGAGCAGACGTCACTGGCAAACTGCTTTGTGTTGTGGAAATCCAGCTCAGCCATGAAGGACCTCCTGACGCCGTAGTAAGCAGTTGCGGTGGGTGAGCCTGTGGCAATCGTGGGAAAAAAGGGATGGCTACGAGGAAACCATACAGGCAGCCGAAGAGTTGTAGGCACCTTTGCGAGCACAAAGCAGAGCCCTTTGCACTCGAGCATTCTTTGGGATGGGGGGTGGGAGAAACTTGGGGTTTTTTTTTCTCCCTTTTCCAGGGAATTTTATGCCATACTACAGGGACCTTGGTTTATTATCATTGCTTCTGTGCTGACTCTTGCAGAGACTTTCCTCTTGGATTTTTTGCCATGGATGCCTGGCCTGTCCCTGTGCTCCTTCACTCACTTTGAGCCAGGTGCTCTTTAGAGAACAAGAGACAGGAGTAGTATCGACTGCCCAACCTACACGTAAGGTATTTCTCACTGGAGGAAAGCCTCACCTGGTATTTGGACAAATGGTGACTGCGGCATGTTGGTGCTGCCCTGTGAAGATAAAGGCACATTGAAAAATGTCTTTTAAAAATAATCTGGCTCCCTAAGCACATAGTTTGGGAAGGTGTTGGTGTAATTCAGATGCACTGTTTGAGTATTGGTGCTATCACTATGAAGAGATTAACTGCAAGATTTTGAGCCTGGGGCATCTGAGGTATTAGCATATGTAGGCTAAGAAGAGATTGCAAAAGTCCTGGACAGAGCTGATAACAGTACAAATATCAAGATAACCGGCTTCTTTCTCATGTCCTTCAGGGTCTCATTATGCTGAACAGTCGTTTCAGTGCCAGCAAGAAACAGGTCTGGGGAAGCGGGTACCTCGGTATTTGACTGGTCAAAATTCAGTTTGATTCTGCACTGCCCGTGTTCAGCCCCAGCTCCCCCACACTGTGTTTGGTGCCCACAGCTGCTTGGCTCACCCTGCTAGCAGAAAGAGCGAGCTGTTCTTGGAAGGAAGTTGTCTCTAGCTCCTGACCGTCTTGTACAGCCATATTGGTAATAATAATCTCCTCTTGGTCCTTGGGCAAGGAGAATTAGCCTCGAGTGACCCCTGTGCTTGAGGAGGCTAATCCCTTCCAAGGCATTGTGCGAAGGCAGCTCTATATGGTGTTTCCCTGAGCTCGGTCTCCGGACCTCCAAGCCCATAAAGCAGAAATCCAGGAATTCATCTCAGCTGTGCTGTTGCCATGGCCGGTGATGGTGGCATGCTACTTCCAGTTTGCATAGCGCAAACAGGAGCTTCCTGCCATAGCAGGCAACCAAATTCGGCGGTTTGGATTTGAATTAAATTTGCCAGTGCTAAGACTTCCTTTTGCTGCTGAGGAAGGCTTGCAGCTGCTCCCAGCTGCGCCATGAAAATGAGCCCCGAGACCGCGCAAGTCACACGGATGCAGGAGCTGCGGGAGGTGCCAGGAAGGAGCCCTTCAGCGCGTGGCAGATGCATGTTCGCCCTGCGGGGTCGGGGATGGAGCCTGCACCTGTCTCCTGCTGGGCAGCATCGTGGCTGGTAACGCATGATGCCCAGCAGATCTACAGCCTCCCTATGCAAATCCAGCCTGGGCAGACACCGCGCTCTGGGCATGTACCTTATCTAAGCAATCCGTTTTCCTCCTTTGGGGCTTGTCCCACCACTTGCTCTGTCCGCTCATGGCCATTGTGTCCTGCTGATGGGTTCTGTCTGCATTCACTGCAGAGTTTCTTTGACCCAAAGGAATGGCACAGCTTTAGCAAGCAGTCCTGTGCTCCAGTGTCAGACTCCAGAGCCTCCAAACCCCACCAGGAAGCAGTCTGGCACCCAAATATTTTGCTTGAGGAGAGAAGGAGCCAGCAAATCGGGCTCTGCCTGCAGAAGCCTAAACCTGGCCTTCATCAGAACAAGCAACCACGTATGAGGACCTACATTTCAATTGCCTGCTGGCTGCTTATCAGGCAGTGAATGGCTTGGCTTAAATTAAGCCCATTAGTCCATTTCCTCCCTGCATTACTTCCTTTCAGCGCCGTGGGACTGAGGGAGCTGGATCTTCTGCAACACATCAGTGTGTCTGCTTAACATCACTTGAGGGCACAGCATGCTCTGCTGTTTGATCATACCTTGACTTCACTGTATCTCCCCTTTGGACCCAAAATGCAGCACAGCAGTTGAGGTAGCAGCATTTGAAAGGAGCATCTGAAAAAGCTGTTGCTGTTCTGCTGCTGCAGTCAAGGGCCCATCTGCTCACTTGTGACAGGTAATGGCCTTTCTTCAGCAGCACTGATCTGCTCTGCAGACCTCCCCTCACACAGGGAAGGAAAACTGATTTTGGAGCAAAGATCATGTGCAAACAAAAGATGCAACCGAATTACACTGCATTATAAATATACGTTGTGGCGTTCAGTTGTCTGCCATTTGCCTTGATGCTAGATTATGTTATCTCTTGGATAAACAGAGCTGCCCTTACAGCTGCTCTTTTCACATGTCCGAGCAAATACGGATGTTTGCCCTGCACTATAATTTTTAGTCTATCATAAGGAATTAGCCATTGGGCTGATTTTGCATTAGATAGACACACAACTGCTAAGCTTTGGAAGCCAGAGTTAAGGGCAATAAAGCCAGCAGCAAGCATTTTACGGTCCCTAGGGCTTTTGATTGCAGCCATGGCAGCACTGAACAGAAAAACTGCCACCTCCAAAAAGAAAGCTGGTAACCCATGGTAGTCCTTAACCTGGATCTGTTTCTTTTTTCAGTCAGTGCAAACAGAGCAGCTGCCTCTCGCTGCTCCCCAAAGCAGTGTGCCCAAAGTGCTGCCAGGTGGGAGCATGCATTTCATAGTGCCCCTCCTAGCTCACGCGCTCTCCTGCCTTTGTGTGTCGGTGGAGGGTTGTGAACAGATCTGTGGCCTGATCTAGTTCAGTTCAGTCATGTCTATGCTATTTTTCTGCTCTTTTTTGGTATACAAAGCTAATGTGTGAAAGTATCTGTAAGAAAAATATAGCTACAAGTCCCCTTTGAGATTTGTTTGTTTGTTTTGCTGAAGGCAAAAAAAACCTGAGGCAAATGGCTTGGGGGCAAAAGAGCATCAAATCTAACACGTCTATTGCAGCTGGTGACATGGGTCTCTGCTCCTAGGTCTCTTTCCTTCCAGGGCACAGTTTCATCAACTTGATTGCATCTCCTCATCTGTCATTGGCCCCGTTTTTCCCAATCAGCCAGGAAACGATGTGCTGCTGCTTAGCAAAGGTGAGTCTTCGGAGCCCACCGGGAACAGCTTACAGTGCCACTGGCTGCTTTGTGCTGGCACCTTCAATATTGTCCTCTCTTCTGGGGACAAAAGCACTTCTCCGGTATCTGTGCCTGGCTGGTACTTTGAAATGCAATGTAGTTTACCATAATTTGACTTACGTTTTCTGTTGCCATGGAATCATTTTAGAAAGAAGCAGCTCTTACAAACCGATGCTTGGCTTCTTTCCAGAGCATAACATCACTGCATATCCCCTGGCACTCTGGTATGCCAGAGAGGAGCTGGAAGGAGGGCATCATTCAGGGAAGAACATCTATTTTTATGGCACTGAGTTGTTCAAACGTAGCTAGTGGTAAGGGAAGCTGACTCGGAAAGGTGTCATGCATGGAATGTGAAGGGAATGGGAAATTTAACATTACTGATTTGCTAAAGCTGTTATTAAGAATTTGTATTTCTCAGGACTTTAATCCCCAAAAGATTCAATCATGTGAAAAATCAAGGAGTTCTCTGTGATTTCTGGGGCAGAAACTAGTCTTGGAAATGCCCGTGCTTTTTCTCTGTCAGTGTTGGCAGCACTCTGAACTCAGCAAAAATGTTCTTTAGCTACAGATTACATGCCACAACTTTCCAGTAAAGTAACAGACTTACACTGCAGTGGGAGCCACTGCTCTGCCTGGATCGCTTCTCGGCGAGCAGATCTTTGACTGTGTGTTTCACTCGTACTCCTTGGTACACTCGTTTGCCGAAATCTGTGGGGACTAAGGGAATGAAATAGGCATTAGAGGAGATCAGCCAAAGCATAGGGAAGGTGGAAAACATCGTTAAGGAAGAAGTACATTCACCAGCTCTGTGTACTAACATAAGAAGGAAGCACGGGAGCGTGTCTGTTAATATTCCTGCTAAATTGTCACTTAGGGCTCCCCTGCAGATGGCAAGGGGGGCCTCCCCTGCAGTTCAGCACTAGGTGCCAGGTGCTTTCCATGCAACTCCCTCTGTGACAGACAAGACTGCATGATGGTTTTGACTTTTGTTTTGCCAAAAAGGGCTCAGGGACATCTTACATTTCCCCCTTGTGTCAGCAAAGGTGGGTTTAACCAGATAGTCCCTATTGCTTCCAGCAATAATCTTGCAGTTTAGCTCCTCATTGCCTCTTTTGTGGAGGTGCCAGTGTCCAGCACATGACTCTGTGAGCCGAGATAGATTTGATCTCTGTGGAGCAAAGGTAGAAATACCCCAGACAGCCAGAGCGGCTCCAGAGGATGGTGCTGTGAACCGGCCTGGGCAGTGCTCAGAAAAAGCAAAGGAGTTGGCTGCTGTGTATCCACAGCAAGTACAGACAGGTTCCTGGGAGCTCTGTGGTTTTAGCAAGGAGAAAAAAAAGCTTAAGAGGCACAAAGAGCGGTGCAGTTCCTTGGCCACCCCAGAGGGCGATGGCAGTTTGGCCTCTGTTTTCTTGACCTACCTGAAAGCCAGCAAAACCTGTACATCATGTCTATGTGGCTTTTGGGGCTAGGCATCTGTCCCCTTCCCCTGCCTGGATAAATCTCTGGGATCTGCCAGGTGTACAGGTGTTTTGGCACGAGCGAGAGCAGACAGGTATAGATGAGTACAATACCGGGATAAACTTTTTATCCTACTTAACAAGCTGTGTCTATAGAGAGACCTCACACCTGTGGAGCCTGGGAGGAGCTTCCAGAAGGGGGTATTACTGAAATGTAAAGACAAGAACTCAACTTTGAAGCTAATGCTTCGGAAAACAAGAAGCCGTGTTCTCCTGAGGGAATGCAAACAGTTAAACCACAGCTGAAGTGCTTGATCTGTAGAGCTGTGATTTATCATTTTACCCTTCTGCTTTTCAGGATGTGGCATTTGATTCCATTCATCATTTATGTTCAGATGGCATTGTGTTCCCAGGTGCACATACACCCAGCGGGTTTCGAAAGGGCATAAACAATGCAGAGACTTGGTGCTGGCTTGGGGCTACTCCACTACCTTCTGGTGGGCCACAGTTTGAAAGAGACAGTCACTGCCTCAAAGATTATGAGTGAAACAGTCAAAATGAACGTGGACACTGAGTATGCATTTGGAGTAGCCAGTATTTCGAGGTAAGGCAAGCCAGTATGCAGCCAAGAAGGGATATCAACTCTCTGAGTTTGGAAAAATCTGCCTGTGTGCTGAGGCAGACTCTTTTCCATGTTCTGATATTCCTGAATGCTACAACCTCTTGTATTCCTTGCTCCTCTGTGATCATTTCTCTAGCAAGTGCCCGATGCTCTGTGCTTCTCCAGTACAGTTTTTCTATCATCCTTATTACTGTCTGAAGACATCAAACATGCCCACATGTCCTTGCTTTTACACATGGGTATTCTGACGCTGAAGTTACTTTGCGCATATGCCTGTAGATATATGCCTGGGCTCTAATGCTTGTAAGTAAGCAAGATAAGCACTGACCCTTGCTTAGCTAAGTACTCTGGCATCATGTAAGTAACTCTGTTGGCTTCTGTGAGTCATTTTACAGGATCTGACTCTGAGCTATTAAAACAACAAATAAGCCTCCTATTGGCAACATCAAGGAAGGAAATGCTAGTTTATATATTTTTATAATTTTTTTGAGCAAATTGAATAATATTTATCATCTTGGATTCACTCTCTTTCAGAAAAATATCGCGCCATGACAGAATATGAATTTTCTTTACAGAATACTGCATATGCTAACAAATATTGTTGAAATATTGGGATATTAGAGATACCATGACAATTCTGCTCTCTGAATTGATTTTATGTGAGCCCACAGATAACATGGTGCATTCTTTCCCCAGTTTCACTCTATCATTAACATTTCTATTAAGATGATTCTATGATATGTTGGAAAGCCAAGGTGCTGGGACTCACCCGTTTCCATTCTGGCCACTGCTGACTAATCCCAGCTCTCAGGATCTGCAGGACTTTGGAGAAGGGCTGTCATGAGCTTCCCAGAGCCGAGTGAAGTCAGTGCTCATTCTGCACTGATAACGAGCTGAACCCAATGGAAATATGTTTTCTCCAATTTAGGGATGTCTCCACAATGGCTTGTTTAGGATTTGCTTAAATGCAAACTGCTCCATGTGTGTTTCACTGCCATTTGCATGGTCAGCGTGGATCAGTCTCAAAGGATCTTTTTCTTGTCTGAGCTGACATGTCATGGGTGAAAACAGAGTTGAGGTTTGTCAATGGAAAAAACTCCGGTTAAATGAAAGGTTGGTAACTCCTGAAGGGATGAGCTCTCTCCTTACAGGACAGGGTCCTGGCTGAAGAACAAGGCTTGGAGCGAGAGAAAATTCTTACCTGTAAGCATGAGGCAGCCTAGTGCTGCTGAAGATCCACATGGCAGGCCTTCCATGTAAGGGAGCTCTTTTCCCCCAAAACCACTACTATAGTCCAGGAATAGATTGGGACAGACAATCTCTGCAGTGGTTTGTGTGCATGCAGAGCGGAACCCAGCAACACTCTGCTCATCCTATATGAGCACAACCAAACTGAGGCCAATACATTCCTCATAATTAAATATTTCTCCACTTGTGGAGCCCATTGCCTGTCTGAGGGGATCTGTTAGGTAAGATTCGTTCCTCTTGGCAATGCCATGCATTTCCATGCCGTGGACCCAGTAATGAATATCGCCTGTTATTGGTACTGCCTTCGTGGGAGAAGACTATTAGTTTCTTAGGCTGCTTTTTTTTTTTTTTTTTTTTTTTTAAACTTCAAAAAAAAATATTAACTGATAGGCGCTGCTGAGGAATTAGCTGCAGCTGGTCAGGCTGTCACGGGAAGCAGGGAAGACAAAGCTGAAGTATCACAGAGAGTAATTGTCTACATACTCAATGCAGAGCTGCAGGTATTCTGATTGCTCAGACACAGAGCTCATGATCGAGGGGGCACTGCACAGAAAACTGATGGGAAAATATAGCTGCTATATAAAGAGTCTGTGGCCACTTACACACCTGCTCCCCATGCGCAGGTCTTGCTTTGGCCAGTCCACGAGTGCCAGCCTGCCTGGTATCGGCAGCTCTCCTGGTTGCAGAGCGTTCCTGGCAATGGCAGGAAGCGCCAGGCAGCTGTAAGGTCACTGCAGAAAAGGGCTGTTTTTGCATCGTAAGCCACCTGGCTCCTGGCAGGCTTCCCGCCTGGGTTTGCCTCCTGGGATGGACATATGTTTGCTTTGGTTAGGATACACAGGCTCAGCCTCCTCGGCACAGCTGTAGCACTGTCCGCCCAGGCCAGGTGTCTTGCCTACAAAACAACTGTGTTAGAAACAACAGCTAATCCTGCAGAAAATAATTAAATGGAGATGAAATAAACACTCAGTCTGCCTTCTCTTAGATGGCACACCTCTCTTATCTTGTGTTTTCTGTTACAAAAGCCTCAGGTCCAGCTTTTCTCTATGGTTTGGTGGTTTTGGGCAAGTACCTTCCATTCTTCTTGGTGGGTAGAGTCGGGGCATGCAAGGGGAATCAGAGAAGCAATTGTGTGTAGACAAGGCATGCTCTATGACACATTCTAAACAACCTCACTTCATCTTAGCATGCTGCCAAAGCAAACTTCACCGGGAATTATGCCTCTATTTTGCACCACAAAGGCCTGGAAGAGCAGATGCAATATTCAGTGCATATTTGCTTAATTCAAACCGTCAGTTCAACCTGTCCTTTTGAGGGAGTAAAAAGAAGAAAAAGCCTCCCGTTATCTGCCAGCATCCCAAACACACGGCACCCCGGCACAGGGCTCATGTGGCGCTTGGGCATGCGCTGAGGGGCACGCGGGGATCAGGGGGACATGGGGGGGTCAAGGGGCACATGGGGGGTCAAGAGGGCACATGGGGGGTCAAGGGGGTACATGGAGGGTCAAGAGGGCACATGGCGGGTCAAGGGGGCACATGGGGGTCAGGGGGACACGAGGGGCCGGGCGGCACACGGGTTTCGGGGTCAGGGGTCAGGCGGGGGTCAGGGGGTCACAGCCGGGACCATCGAACAGGCTGCAGGGGGGGCGCTGTGCGCGGGCAGGAGAAGAGCCCGGAACCTTCGCGCGCCGCGCTCCTGTTTCCACACCGGCCCACTCGGCCGCAGTACGCGGGGGCCGCCTCCCGCACGCCGATTGGCTGGCGGCCGCGGGCGAGGGCGGCCGCCATTGGCGGGTGCGGGGGCGCGGTCCGTGGGTTTCCGGCGCCCCCCGGTGGGGGAAGCGGCCGAGCGGAGCCGCCGCGGCCCCTCGCGCGGCGGCGGGGGCTGCGGGGCCGCCCGCGCCCCGGGCTCGGCCCCGGTCCCGGTCCCGGCAGCAGCAGCCGCAGTCCCGCTGCCCCGGCCCCCTCGCGGCGCCGCCGCCGCCATGGCGGCCGGCAGGGCCGGCGGGAGGCAGGCGCTGTCGCTGCGCTGCGAGTGGGAGCTCTGCGCCTTCGTGGCGCCGCGCATGGAGGAGTTCTGCGAGCACGTGGCGCAGCACCTGCGGCAGCACCTGCCCGGCGAGGCCCGCAGCGACGTGGACCCGCTCGGTAAGGAGCGGCGCGAGCCGCCTCGTGCCCCCGCCCGCAGCTCCCTGCGGGAAAGGGGCCTTTCCCTCGGGAAACTCCCGGGAGCTGGTTTAGAAAGAGATGTAGCTTCTCAGCCTGCAGGGCGCCGAGCCTCTTTTGGGAGCCTTTCCTCCATCCCTTTGCCCTCTGTGTGTTTCCTGCCTCAGTTGCAGAGGAGTACACGTGCCTGTGGCAGGAATGTGGCTTCTGCTCGCCGGAGAGCCCGGCCGACCTCGTCCGCCACGTCTACTTCCACTGCTACCACACCAAGCTGAAGCAGTGGGGGCTGCGGGCCCTGCAGAGCCAGTCGGACGTGAGCCACTGCCAGCTGGATTTCCAGAGCCGCAACATCATCCCCGAGATCCAGGAGAACTTCCTGTGTCTGTGGGAGTACTGCGAGGTGAGGGGCAGCTCCCCTTTCCCAAGTGGTGGCAGGGGTGTGGAAGCCAAGGCGAGGAGAGCTGCCTTCTCCCGCTCGCTGTGTTTGTGCCTGTGGGGAGAGCGTCTGCGCTGTTCGTGCTTCTGCCTTCACCCTGTTCCCTCTGGCCCCACAGAGGTCGTTTGATAATCCCGAGTGGTTCTATCGGCACGTGGAAGACCACAGCTTCTGTTCCGAGTATAAGGCAGCAGGGAAGGAGAACCACGTGGTCCTGTGTGGCTGGAAAGGTTGGTGGAGGCAGGCAGGGGCTCTCTGCAGGGCTCTGCACAGGCGTGGGCTGCAAGGGTTGTACAGGAGAGCTCTGCCTTCCTTGTCCGGCCAGGGTCTCGGAGAGCATCTCTGAATTCGAGAGCGTGTGTGAGGTTCTGGCAGTGAGACAAATGCTCCTGTAGAGTTTCCTTCAGGGGCTCCAGTCGACTAGTTTGTATTCAACTTCTCATTCCTAGTTAATCATCTCACGGTAACCTAGGAGAAAGAGCTCTGTCTTCCTCATTAAAATAATTGCTCTCTTCTCTGTGCACCACAGCTCTGTGTTTGTCTTAGCTGCTTGTGGGATGAGGGGCTCTGTGCTGGTGTTAGCCTGACAGCCTCATGGCGCTGCACCCGTGCAGCAAGGGCTTTTCCTGGCGTAGAGAGCTGATGCTTGCGTGGCCCAGCAAGCAGCCTCAGTCAGGCGGTGCGCTACAAGACTCCCGTCTGCCTGTTGTGGTTGCTCGCTGTGCTGCGTCCCTTAGGAGCAACCTGAACGATGTCGTTGTTGCTTGTGCGCAGACTGCGACTGCACCTTCAAAGGGCGCTGCAAGCTGCGGGAGCACCTGCGCAGCCACACGCAGGAGAAGGTGGTGGCCTGTCCCACCTGCGGCGGGATGTTTGCCAACAACACCAAGTTCTTCGACCACATCCGCCGGCAGACGGCGCTGGACCGTAAGCCGCTGTGGGCATGGCGAGGGCGGGCTTGCGAGCGGTCTCGCTGGGTTCCCTTGCGCTCTGCGCGAGTCGAGCGTGCTGTGCTTGCGGCACAGAAGGCAGATGGGTCTTGGGAAGTGGTTTTATGGTTTGGCTTTGCCGTTAGTGCCTACTGCCTCTACTGGGAGGGAAGGGTTCCTGGCTGCGCCCTGACTTCCATTTGCTGCTCTTGGTGCTGTTGTTCTTACTCTGATTTCTCTTCTCATTCACCCTGCCCTCTTCTCGCTCGACCTGGACGTTGCAGAGCAGAGGTTTCAGTGCTCTCACTGCTCCAAGAGGTTTGCCACGGAGAGGCTGCTCCGTGATCACATGAGGAACCACGGTGAGTGAAGGCTCCTTCCTGCGGCTGTTGCTGCGAGCAGTGTGTGTTCTGCCCTGCTCCGCAGTGACGTTTCCCGCTCGTTTCCCTCGAGCAGTGAACCATTACAAGTGCCCTCTGTGCGACATGACCTGCCCGCTGCCCTCCTCGCTGCGCAATCACATTCGGTTCCGGCACAGCGAGGAGCGGCCGTTCAAGTGCGACTACTGCGACTACAGGTGAGTTCCCGGGCTGCCCGTGTTCCCGGCTGGTGGCCCTCAAGGGCCTGGAGGCCTGTTTGCATGTACGTGGCTCACTGTGACCAGCTTGAGTTGCCTTTTTGGTTCCTCTTAGTTGCAAGAATCTCATTGACTTGAGGAAACATCTGGACACCCACAGCAAAGAGCCAGCCTATCGCTGCGAGTTCGAGGCCTGCAGCTTCACCGCGCGTTCCCTCTGCTCCATCAAACTCCACTACCGGAAAGTCCATGAGGTGGGAAGGGAGCAGAGGGGTGCACTTGTTCCCAGTAAAGCTGAAAAACAGTAGCCCTGACATGCTGCATGAGGTAAAAGGTTAGAGCCTAGTGAGGTGCCCTAGGCTGGAGCTATAGGAGCGGGAGGTCACGTTGCTTTGCTCTCTTCCTGCTGCACTGATTTGTCATGTCAGTCTTCTCAGGGAACCTGTTTCCTCCCTCTACGCCTGCAGGCGGATGCCGGGTGCTCTGATCAGGCCTGCAGGGCACTCATGTTGCTCTCCCTGCTCTCCAGGGTGACTCGGAGCCCCGGTATAAGTGCCATGTCTGTGACAAGTGCTTCACACGTGGGAATAATCTCACCGTGCACCTCAGGAAGAAACACCAGTTCAAGTGGCCCTCGGGGCATCCTCGCTTCAGGTATTGCCCTCCCTCAGTTCCTCCCTGCCTCCTGTCTAGCGCAAGCAGCTGGTGCTGCCTCCTGCTTTTTACTGAAGCCAGCAGAAGGGATGAGGCAGTGATTGGGCTTCGTGTTTGCCTGTGATGTACCTGGGAACCTTTTTTGGGGGCAGGGAAACACTTGGCAGCAGACGTTCAGTGGGTTTGGACCCTGATGATGGAGCAGTGCTGGGTGGGAGCTCGAGCAGTGGGACAGAGATAGGGGCATGGACAGGAGTGCCATTGCAGCAGCTGCATTTGGGAACTTCCCTGGGGAAGGGGCTGCAGTGAGGCTTGCTCCATCACCCCTGCCTGTCTCCGCTCAGGTACAAGGAGCATGAAGACGGCTACATGAGGCTGCAGCTGGTGCGCTACGAGAGCGTGGAGCTGACAGAGCAGCTGCTGAAGGACCGCGAGAAGCAGGGAGAGGCACTGGACCATTCAGCCGAGTGCGTGGTGCTCTCTGAGGGTGAAGGCAACCTCCAGGCCATCATTCTGGAGGCCCCAGCAGAGGCTCCGCCAGTGGCGAACAGTGACCCTGAGCCACAAGCGGCCTCGTGGCAACCTGTGGCTTACTCTGCTGGCAGCGCTGAGCCAACAGGGCCAAGTGCCTTCCCGGGAGCAGCGCTGTCCTCAGAGCCAGGACCCAGCGCCCCAGCCAACCCCATCATCCGGGTGGTGAACCGGACCAACGAGCACGGGGAGAACGAGACTGTGTATTACGTCATGGCTGGTGCCTCCTCTGAGGAGCGGGCAGCAGGGCCCGGCGGGCTGGCCGTGGAGCTGGAGGAGAATGTCATGGACCGCCTGCAGAAGACAGCTGAAGAGCTGGGCATCCAGATAGTGTGAGGAGCTCGCCTGTCTCCCTGCACTTGGAAAACACGGACCGCTGTGGGATGTGCTAGGAGAGAGGGCAGGTCTCCTCCCGCACATGGCTGGCTCGCTTCTCTCTGTTGTTCCAGTCTTGGTGGCTGCTGGTTCTGGTCAGTGTGGAGAGGTGGGGAAAGGCTGGTACTGTCTGTCCGGCAAGAGATTTGAGCAGGAAAGAGCCAAGGATTTGAGGAATGGGGCAAGTCTCTCCTGCTTCTTCAGGAGGTTCTGTCTTTGTCTGGCCTGGGCCTTCTGTGCCTCTTTACTTGCTGGTGATGTGGTCTCTGCTGCTATGCAGTCAAGTTGTCAGGTCCTCAGTGAGGACCTCCCCAGGCAGGGAAGCATGCTGAGCCGATGCAGCAGGTGAGACGGGTGCCCCTCAGGCCTGCTCTCCCCCATACCTTATTCTCCACAGGAAGGGATGCCTTTGTTGGCACTTCCTTTCAGGATGTCTCTCCTGTTAGTGCCTGCACTGTCGATACCCTCCCACTGCACTGATCTCTGTGAGAGGAGAGGGCTGGAGGTGCTGTCCCTTACTGGCTTGGGGGTTTTCTAGTGCATTTATTCTTCCCTGGGTTTCCTCCCCACATTGGGGCTTGGGATACTGAGCAAGTAAATTGTACTTGGGAGTGATAAATAAAAGCCAGACTGCTGGACCAACTGGTGTGTGGTGTCTGTGTCAGCCCCATTCCTGCAGCCAGGGCAAGTTGTGGTGACCGTGAGATCGAGCTGCACAGGAGCTACGGTGTGAGGGACAGACACAGTGGAGCTGCCAGGATGCCTTTGCTGTCCTGCAAGGTGCCACCTGCTGCAGCTGGCTGCTGTCTTGGAGAGTGCGTTGTCCCATGTCCCCAGGGACAGTACTGAAAGTCCAGGCCTGGCTCAGGCACTCCTGCCTAGTGTGCATTGGGTTTTGCTGCCTCCCGTGGAGTGTGAATCTGTGCTGCCTGCTGTGTCATGTTTTGAATCTAAAGAGCTTGGGCTTGTGGGCAGAGGCAGCTTGCCCCTTGGGAAGTGCTTTGGATAAGGACCGCATGAAGCTGGTGTTCCTGGTGTGAGCAGGGTGAGCGTGGCCTTTGCCACCCTTGGTGCGGAAGTGGGAGGCCACATGGAGGCGGACGGGCAGTTTCAGTGTCCTCGCTGCTCTTGGGCCTGGCACTGACTTCTTCCCTCTCTGGTGGAGAAAATCACTTCAAGCTAAGCCCCTGGCCATCTGCTCACTTTCTAATTACAAAGGCTGTGGGTGTGACTTGTGGCTGTGCCCGTGGGGTGGGGGGCACAAGAGCAGCCCCCCTTGGGCTGGTGCCAGGGCAAGGAGCAGCAAGGAGGAGGATGCAGCGAGGCCGGGCTGCCGGCACAGGCTGCGGCCAGCCTTGCTCAGCCTTCTGCGCTCCTCTTGGACACTTCCTCGCTGGCACTTGGCGCGGCTGGGCCAAGAATGCCCTCGAGAGAAGGGACTCCAGCCAGACAAGCTTTCGCAGCACTCCCCTCTTGGCTCCATCTCCGACACACGGGCCTCGGGGCTCTGCTGCCAAGCTGTGGCAGTGCCCGCTCTGTCCCCGCTGTGCCCCCGCTGCGGTGCTCCTCTGCCACCCGTGTGCTACACGCTGGGAACCGCGTAGAGCCTGGGGTGGCCGACAGGAGGTGTCCCTTTAAAACCTGGGTCTGGGAAGGGTAATCTGCCAGGGATTATCTGCTGGGGAGAGGATTCGGATTAAGGGGAGCGGCTCCTCCCTTCCCCCATGCCCTACAGTGTGTCTCAGCCCGAGTGCATGGAAACCAAGTTGGTGTTCTCCGGGGCAAGCCGGGTAGCACTCCTGGGGCTGCTGGAGATGGGCAGGCCCAGGGACCGCATCCTGACATGAGCTGTGGGGTGGAGAGGAGGGTGGTGCATGTGCTATGGGGCTGAGCATCCTGTTCCTTGTCTTGCTGGCTACGCTGGTCTCCTGTGAGGAGCAGGAAGGTAACGGGATGCAGGGGGGCTCAGAGGGGCTGAGCTCGAGCTTCTGATCTCGGGGCTGCTGGTGCTCGGCTGCCGATGTTCCCGGGCTGGGGGAGCACAGCCCTTCCAGCCCCTCTTTGCCTTGCTCCCCTGCAGCACCGGGAGTTCTGGATACCTACTGGTCTGGCACAGCACCCATTTGCCTGGGGGGCTGCAAGGGGAAGCACAAGGAGCTGAAGAGAAGCCAATGTGGGAATGGCAGCTGCTGCTGGCTGGGCTACAAGTCCTTCTGCCGAGGTAGGGCTGGTGGGACGCAGGAGGGGACGCGGGAGGGCTGCAGGACTTGGCACAGCCTGTTGGGCAGGGCAGGTTTGCACCACACGTGTGTGTGCATCCGTGCTTGCAGCTTGCTGCTCCCTGGCCAGCAAGGGGACATTGGCAAAGAGCCCCCACAGTGCCAGTCTGGCACTCTAGTCCCTCGCTCAGGACCCTTGGGGCAGCCTGAGCATCCTGGAGGGCAGTGCCAGAGGAGCGGTGCTGCGGGATGCTGTGCTGCCCTGCCAACGTGGGTATTTCTTTGCGTGGGGACTTGCCTCTCCGCAGTGAACTGTGGGCGGCCCGAAGCGGACTTCAACTCCGTGGTGTACGGCAACGACTGGTGGGTCGGCTCCGTGGTGCGCTACAGCTGCCGGCCCGGCTTCCTGCTCCTGGGCGACCCAGCCAGCGCCTGCCAGTCCGATGGCCGCTGGACTCCCAAGCCCACCTGCCTCCGTGAGTAGCACTGGGCCACGTGCTGGGCCAGGGGAACGCCGTGCCTGTGAGGTCCCTGGGGAGGTATCTGCAGCCGCTTTGGACCTGGAGGAGGGTTGCAGAGAGGTCCCCAGCCCCTTCCCGCCCTGAGCATTGCCAGTTAGCTGCAGGGGGGCTGCGAAGAAGGTGGCTGCAGGCAGCTCTTTACGCCGCTCTCCGGCCCCACTCCCACAGGGATCTGCCTGCGAGGCCGGATTGAGATCAATGAGCGGGACATCACCGGGAGGTGCTCCTCATCCTGCAGCAGCCACACTCACCTGGGAGCCTTCCTCAACCGTGGCTGCATCAAGATCTCAGCCTGCGTCACCAAGCAGTCCGGCTGGGCCCGCTGGTTCCAGCGCTGCGACATCTGCGAGTGCGACTGCCACGTCCCGTGCGGTGAGTGCCTGTGCTGAGGTGGACATGTGCTGGCCAGCAGCTGTCCGCCCTGCTAGATGTCTGCTTTTAGTGTAGAGGGTGATCCCCAGCGCCTGCAGCAGCTGGGGGCTGCCGAACTACTCAAAACCTGCTGCTCCTGCCTTCCTTGCAGCTTCCTCTGGGTAGAGCTGAGCTGGTCGGAGCTGCAGGATCTGCCTCTGCTCTGAGAGAGACCTCTGCCTTGGATGAGTGCTGCCTTCTCTTAGTCCGTCTCTGTCACCGGGCTCTTTCTTCAGCTCTATCTGCTGCTAGGCTGCTGGATAGGAGAGAGGGGCCTCACCTCACCGCTCTTGCAGGGCTGCCCTTCAATGTGAGGAGATGCTCATCAAGCTGGAGAGTTCCTTTTGCTTCCTTCAACTGGGTCCATGGAGCTGGTATCTGTTCCCTTCTGCGTCCACCTCCATTTCTGAGAAGGGCAATGGGTCTACCTGTGCTGTGTGTTGCAGGATTATTAATCATATCTCTCCTGTGGGTTATGACTTCTCCCTGCTGGGTGTTCCTTGTGCTTTCAGCTGCTCCTGCACTTACTGCAGCCAGGATGGTAGAGCCAGAGTGTGAGAGCCAGGGTGTGCAGCCATGTGCTCCTTGCTGCCACCTCTGCATGGCAGAACAGGCCACAGCAAACATATGTCTGCATCAAACTTTGTAAGGAATAAAGCATTACCTTGAGACTTGCTGATCCAAAGTCTTTCTGGATGTGCTGGGAAGTGTCTCCAGCTGCTGTAGGTTCTGCCCTTGCCCCAAGTTGCATTGTCTCTCTTCCAGGAAGCAACCTTTCCTGCATAGTGTGTTTCCATTCCCTCTTGGACCCTTGGCTGCTCTCTGGGGTGATGCTCGGGCTGGCTCTGGCACCCAACTCTCCATCTAGCCTTGTGCTCCCAGGGGAGCCGCTCTGGCTCCCTCCAAAGCAGTGCTGGAAGAGGCAGCACTTTTATTCCCCTAGAGAAGCAGGAGCCTGTCCAAACGGGTGACCAGTGCAATTGAGGACACGGTGCACCACAGGTAATTTAAGATATACTAAAGGAAATCATACAAGATCTCCAGTCATGTGGAGGGACTCTATGGCCAGTCCCATTCCTTGAGGCCAGCATATGTGGCAGAGCTGAGAGAGGTCTCCTCTGCCACTGGTCTGGTCCCAAAGCACTAAGACACAGTGGGAACTCAGCTACCACCAAGACCGTAGTGGAGAGGTCCAAGTTGGGGTCCAGGTGGATGCCTCCAAATGTGCCTTTGATGCTGGCTGCCTGAGCTTCCCAGGTACTAAACCTTGAGACCTGTGCGGTTTCCACCTTGAAGGAACCTGTGGCGAGTTGCTGCAGTTGTGCTGGGGGGTTGCACAGCCAACGGGGGGCGGGCTCTGCCCTGGCCCAGCCCCGAGCAGCAGCAGGACTTCAGCAGCAAGGGAGATTGCTCCCAGGCCCTGTTTGCACCCTGGCTGCAAGGAAGCAGGGCTGTTCTGCACTGCTTAGAGGGTGTCTGGGCTGAGAGCTGCTAACGGTGAGTGTCTGGAGAGCGGAGCGAGGATGGTGAAAGCAGGGTGAACTGAATGAGCTCTACATGCCTTTTGCTCTGTGAGGAAAAGGCTCAAGATCTCTGTGGAGCCTGAGATGTCCAGGACCCTCCAAATTTCCCTTGTGCCCTCCAGCACCCGACTTCAGGCTGCCCTGCCCCACAGACAAGTCTTCCAGCTGCTGGCCCCATTCTGCTCCTCCATGGGGCTGGATTGCTACCTGAAGCACCTTTCCAGCCCCAGCCTGGCTGCGGCAGGGGAAGACTCTCCTCAGCTTGGCAGATGGTTTTCTAATTAATACCTTCGTTAGTGCCACTCATTTCCATATGTTTAAGAACTGTGGTGGGTGAGAGGTGTGAGTAACAGTGAGGATGGAGCCAGGCGAGTGCTGCTGAGGGTGGGAGCACGGAGGGCCGGCAGGTCTGTGGTGATGGGCTGTGGATGGAGCGTGTCGGGAGTGAAGCCACACAGGGTGGCACAGGGGCAGCCCTGACACTTGGTGCCCTCTCAGTCCCCACACCTGGTCTGTGTTGCCCACGCTCAGCCTTGCTGTGTGGTCCCATCGCAGGAGCCTGTTTCTACGCAGTCTGTGCCCCGTTAGGGAGCCTGTGCTGCAGTGCATGGGGGTTGCAGGAGAGGCTGGGGGCTGGATGGGCTGCAGGTGGTGAGCGCCAGGCCCCCGGGCTGCAGATGCGCAGGGCTTGCAAGCAGAGAGGCCCACAGGGAGGAAATAGGGCCGGTCCCTTTAAGAGGCTTTTGCGCTGCCTGGCAGTAGAGCCTGCCTGGAGAGCCCAGCCTGCCGGGCTGACATTCAGCGTCGGGATAAAC